TGTGTGTGTGTGTGTGTGTGTGTGTGTGTGTGTGTGTGTGTGTGTGTGTGTGTGTGTGTGTGTGTCACTGACGCTGTGATTTTTCCAGGCAAGAGTCAAGTCAGGAATTTAAGTAGACATCCTTTGTTATCAGCCAAACCAAATCATTTGCAACCAAAGTAACCAGACAAAAGTCCTGACTCCTGCTTGGAAGTAGTCACATAGAAACCTAGATTAGAGTGTCAGTTGTTTGTTTTTTAATAATTCTGGAGGTTTAGCACTGCTTTTATTTTGTAATTATAAACACTTAAATGTTTGCCTTACCTCACTTGTCTCTCCTGTAGGAACGTGCCGAAGAAAGAAGACATGGCCCAAGACGTTCCCCGAGGAGGAGCTGAGGAAGCGACTGACCCCAATGCAGTACCATGTTACTCAGGAAAAGGGCACAGAGAGGTGGGTGACCCACCCTAACTAAAAGACACCTTAAAATACACTTTCAATCAAAAGTTTGGACACACTTGAATGAATTAGTTTGTCATTAACTTAATAGATTTATAGATAAATATAAATTGTTCATAAATTATTCAATTATTATATTTATCCAAATCATACATATACTGTATATATTATACACTGTCATTTTCTTTGCGAAACTTAAAAAAAAAACATCAAAAACAATACCATGTTTAAAAACAAAATCAATAAATAGTCTATCATGCATTATAAATGTAATACTAACATTAATAATTATCTAATTTAATATAATAAATGTTAATTCATTTATAATGATTTATAATATAATTTTTAATTAAGTAATTGCTTTTGTAAGGGGATTCCTTTGAACTGGATTGTGAAGCAAAAGCAGCCAACAAGGTTACATTTTATTTTCTAAATAATTAAATTATATTCCAACAACTTTATATTTTAAAAGGTGAAAAATAATAAAGAACGAGTAGATGTGTCCAAACAGTGGCAATGAGAAAGTGAATTTGGATTTTTTTATTTTTTTTTTATTTCAAGCGTCTAGTCAAATGTGGCTGTGAAATGTCAATAGACTGAACATTCTCTGTACAGATTTCTTTATGCTTGGCTGACAGAAACATTCTCTCCTGAATGACCCAAGGCCATGAGATAGATTTTGAGTAGAAGGAGGATGTAGCACAGAAGGGAAAACACTGACACTTCCCCTCTTTCCCTCCGTTGCTCAGTGGTAAAACACACGTGGGGATAGTATTTATCGGCCCATTGGCAGTAGGAATGTGAAAAATGCCCTTAGCCTGTGAGAAGAGAGCAAGGAACCTGAAAGGTGCATTCTGATGCCTGTTACTCCGTTCAAACACAAATCCTCCTCAACTTATCTAGATTAGAAATGCTCAATCAATTGCTGCCATTTACAGTTTTGTTTTTTTGTATAAACAAACACAGAGCATGGGAAACTGAAATGCACTTTGAAATAAGCAGTAATATGGATTAGCATTTATTGATGAACTTTTATTGAGCTGACCATTATCTTTTATTAAGCTAACAGTATACATAGTTGATCATTTTAAGGTATAAAGTCACAGTTTGTGGTGTTTTCATCCATAGTGCTTTCACGGGAAAATATACAGATAATAAAGAGGAAGGAACCTACCAATGTGTCATTTGCGGTGCCCCTCTTTTCACGTGAGTGTCCATAATGAGCCATCTTTACCATGCCCACTGTATTTAATCTTTATTTTTGATTTAGAAATAAAAGGGTTTTTTGTAATACATCTTCATTTGATAGTCAACATTTTGGTCAACATTTTGTTATTGACGCCTTACTGTCCTTGCAGGTCTGATAAGAAGTTTGACTCTGGATCAGGTATGGTTCTGCACTCACATATAATAAAAATCAAAATAGATAATGAGACAAATGAGTTTATTTTTGTAAAAATGCTTGATTTCCTTTTGACAATGGTGTACATAATGTTACAAGACTAAAGGCCGTTCACACCAAGCACGATAACTATAAAGATAACGATAAAGATATAGTTCTAAAAATCGTTCTCAATATTAAAGAATAGCATAGTTCACACCACAACTATAACGATAACGATACAGAGGAACGATATCGTTGTGATCACTTTCAAAACGATTTTTTTTCCAGCTGATGAACGATAAAACACTGACAGCCAATCAGAATCCATCCTGCTGTAACGAGCTCAAGAATTTAAAGCGGCAGAAGCATGTGCGCTTAGAATAAACAGACGATATCGTTCGCTGGTGTGGACGGACACTAATATCGTTATCTTTATAGTTATCGTTCTTGGTGTGAACGGGGCTTAAACCACATTTTTTTCTCAAAGAGAGAAAAAAATATATAGATAAGGCTCATTGCTCCTTATTCTTCTCTTGTCCAGCTCAATAAGGGAGAGTTTGACCTTCTCAACCTCCTTTATGGTTGATTGCAAGGATGAATGTGAATCCAGTCAGCTGTCTAATGGGCTGCTAGTGTGGGGCATGAAAGCTCACATGCTCCTTTATATATGAGTTACAGCACCACAGTTCTTAATTTGTGCACATCAAACGTTCTTCCTTCACAATTAGAGAACAACTCTGTAGAATTAATGTATTTCTCACAGAGAAACAGTATGCAGAGTTTTTTTGTTTTAATTAATGTTGTTTTAATGGCTTACAAAAAATGACAATCACAAATAATCCCTTAAAACAATATTTGCTTAGAAAAGTCAAATGAAGATAGTTCAAAGAAGTTACGTTATATTGGCCAACAACAACTGACTAGACATGACAAAGTAGTTTTTGTGTTGCTCCTCGCTGTTTTTCAGTGTCTTTAACAATAAATGTTGCATTTATACATAGTTCAGCTTTTTTAAAAATGCATCTTGCAATTCATCTATCAGTTTTTGAATGCAAGAATGTGTTATTAATAAAGTATAGTCACTTTGATTTTAATGCAGGTGTGCAAATAAGCATTAAATGCAGATCACAGGTGTTATGAAGTTTCCTGGAAGTGCTTCTCATCTTGCTTCTAATATGGCTTTTGTAGTTGCAATGGTATACTTTTCTGTTACGAGTTTAAGATGTGTATTCAATGTTTTGTTTTAAGCATAAAAAGACTCTCATCAGCTCCTACTAAGTGAATGTTGAGTTGGTGCTGAGTGTACACAATGTAATTATAATATATCTCAGCAACGGATTGTTGATCCCTTACAGATCTGAGCTCCAAATCACGTACTTCTGCAGTGTTACTCATGCTATTTTTATTCGCTCTCCGAACAAAGTATAATGTGTATGCAAGAATTCTTTACAGAAATCAGGCCGAAATGAGAAACATCTGGGCCCATGTTGAAAAATCTTTTTTGTCTTCGACATAGAGATGGGAGCCAAATGGGCTGCATTGCATGCAGGCAACGCTGCAGCCTGGACTCATGTAGACTCAATTTCCTGTTTTGTTAGAATGACGCGACACTGCTCCATTCACTGGGCCGCTCGCCCTGGCGATAAAGCTCCATTAGATCAGCTCCGCGGCGATCCGCCGGGATTCTCCCGGTCTGAGTCATAGGATTTCTGTATTCCCCCTAGAGCTTCCTATGTCTGAGTGGAATTTCGTGGCTTTGTAGTTGCAGCCAAGCATCTCCTCCCTAAGAGAGAGGAGAGAGAGGGGGTCAGTATAGATGGCGATTGAGGGGTGTTCGCAGTGCCGATCCTAGACTTCTGGGGGCCCTAAGCAAAACTTTGTCAGGGGGCGCCTGTCTGTGCGTTCATAAAAATCCCCAAATGCCTCCCAACCCCTTAACCTGTTCTTTCAGAGCAGTTTCAATGTCAACAAACAACAGTGAGTTGAAACAGTCAATAATACAAAAATAGGAAGAAAATGACAAACAATAGGACAAATACAATAGAATAAAAAATATACAAATACAATAAACAATTTAGCCTATAATAGCCTACTATTCAGAAATTGATTAAAGTAATCAAATGTAAAAAATAAAGCACTGCATAGACTTCACCATATAAATCAAATATAAATTGATTCATAACAAAGTTATGATGAACAATATTCATTGAAGAGCAGTGAATACATCTCTTTTTCTTTTGTTGTTTGATTAATATTAATGACAGACAGCAGCACTGATTACATTTCAAACTGTTTATGTTCACTTAAGACATAACTGACTGTGTTTAAATGAAAATTCACCAAGACAGACATTTTGGCATATTTTGTGTGTATTTGCCCCTTTAGGTACACACCCAAAGCCCAAAGTAGCCTATATTTGTCTGTTTCAAGTCGCCTCGAATCACACACACAGAAAGTGCTTGGGGAATAGTGTCTCTTCCGCAGCTCAGTGTGTTTTTAACTCTTTTTTTGTTTGTTTTTTTTTAGTATCGAACAACGAAAGTCACGTTACATGATTTGACTGATTTGGATGTTACGTAGAAAGGGCTACAGTGCACCGCATTAAAGGAAAGGAACATTCATGTTTTCATTATCGCTGGTAGCCAAAATCAAAAATGTATTGGGAGGATCGGCTCTGGGTGTTTGAGGGGTTGTGGAGAGAAAGTATAGAATGAGCAGGTGGACGATTGATTGACTGACTTCTGTTTCTCACCACACAGTTGTAGTATCACAGCAGTGAACCAACTCCTGCTTCCTGAGGCATGATCCGATGTCATTATGAAATGTAAAATCAGATAGAGTTACCAAGATGTGCTTGGCAATAATTAGGGTCGAAAGCTAGAATAAAGCGCATGAAGGAACTTTGGTTGCCAAATCTCCCACACTGGCCCTCAAACAACTCTTTCCGTTAATTTTCCATTATTATTTAGAACAGGGTATTTGCGGGTCCTTAAAAAAATCTTAAATTGATGGACAGAAAGTAAAATGACATAGTTAGGTTTTTATTATATTTTAACACTCATAATCTATACCATTCAATACAGATCATTTGCTTTGTACCGGTAAAAAGTTCTTGAGATTTAAAAAAAAAGTCTTTTATACTCTCTAAGACTGCATTTAATTAATCATTAAAAAACAGTGATATTGTGAAATACTATTATAATTTAAAATAACCATTTTCTATTTTAATTTATTTAAAAATATAATTAATTCCTTTGGTGGGAAAGCTAAATTTTCAGCATCATTACTCCAGAATTCAGTGTCACATGATCCATTAGAATTTTTTCTAATATGCTGATTTGATACATTTTTTATTATAAATGTTGAAAACTGTCGTGCTGCTGGTTGTTTTTATGGAAAACATTATATATTGTTTTTCAGCATTCTGTGATGAATAGAAAGTTTGTAAAAACTTTCGATTAATGTAATGTGCTGAAAATAATTATGACCCCAAACTTTTAAACTGTAGTGTTTTTCCATAAGTAATATATTCAGAGATATATTATAATATTCTCTAAATGCTCTAGAATTCATTTTTTTGTTTTCTAGATTTAAAAATGTAGAATTAGCATTGCAGTTCTGGTGTTGCTGAACTTTATCTGTAATGTTTTGAATAGTAATTGGATGTGTTGTACCCTGCACTGCCAATAGTCTTGTACTACTCATTCATTCTGCTTTGCAGCATCTAATTGAATACCTTTCCCTCTACCAGTAATCAGGAGGTAGTACTTTAAAGTCAGTCTGGGTTTTTGTCAAAAACCTAAACAAATATGTCAGCAGAGGCTGTGTAGTAGTAAGCTCCCAAGGTCCCTCTCCTCCAGACGTTCCACCTATCCAGAGAGCCATGAGCAGGACCACCCATGAGCCAGAGCAGCCATTCTTTCCACTTGCACCCCTGTTACTGGGTAGAAATTTTCCAGGTGAAAGAAACGGGATTGTGAGACAGCCTGTAACTCTGTCAATAACGCTGACCATTTTCAGTGAGGTTTGTTTCACTTCATGATCTTACGTGCCGTCCAGCCATGCAGTAGGGTATGGATGACCCCATATATCTGGTTTTGCCAGAAACCAAACACCCAAAAATCATGGTGGTGAATTTTGCATCAGCAAACTCTAACCTTATTTTCTCACCATTTAGCAAACCAAAGGACCAAGCTTTTCATACATTCTCTGTTGTTCTTTTCCAAATAATCCTAACAAACTCAATGTGCTTTGCATTGTAAGCATATGCAATGTGTTGTATTAAGGTTCGATTGATTAGATTGCATTGGTCTGGCGTGAAAGACAAGAATAGAGCAGCAAGAAAATGTGAGAATCTCAGAATGAGCTTCAACACCAGGACAGGCCAGGAAGAGAACAAACCCCTTAAACTTGCACAGCACGAGATGGAAACACACACCAGAATGGAGGGTTAGTAGGCTTGTGGATCACGTGTAGATTCACTTAACCCTCAATGTTGTACTGCTTTTGCAGGATGGCCGTCCTTTTTTGATTTGATCAATAAGGACTCTATAACACTAACTGATGACTTTTCGTACGGGATGCACAGAGTGGAGACAACCTGCAGTCAGGTACAAAACCAGATTTACACCTTTTCATACCCTGCTATGAAGACAACGTCTTGAATTTTATTTTTTATTTTTTTTCTATTTGTAGTGTGGTGCTCACCTGGGCCACTTTTTTGATGATGGACCTCGACCGACAAAGAAACGCTACTGCATAAACTCTGCTTCTCTCAATTTCCGGGCAAAAAACAGTCCTTCTGAGGAGGTGGAAGCATCCGGAGGAGCAGGTCAATCAGCACCTTCTAGTAAGAATGAAGAACTTTAATAGGACTTGAAATAGACCAATCAGATGTCACGCTACTCCAAAGTCACTCCTGAACTATCAATTCCAAATCAAGTGAGCCGTGCAATCAGACAAATATATGCTTAGCAACATTCGTCTGAATGATGGGTCCTTCAGGATCACAATATGCAAAATCAATGTCCAGATAACAGATTAGAATGGCCTTATGTTTGCTCCTCAACTTCTTCACTTGAATTTTGTGTCATTTGAAGAGCTCACATAGCTTCAGAGATTTGCTCTGCTAAACTGTTTTTGAAAACTTGGTAATTTTCAATTAGGTACAAAAGTCTGAGACTACATTGAAAATCTGGGATTTTTCTTTCTTTTCATTTAAATAATAAAAAAAAAAAAGATTCAGATTTTTAAACAACTTTAAAACAAGGAAACAATGTAGTGGGAAAATGTATAAGACTAGGTAACTAATCAAGTACATTTCAGACATCAGTCTTTGTACAGAGAGTCAGATATTCTTCCATTGAAGCTCAAGGTGATTTTTGAATCATACTCAAATCATACTGGAGAACATGATTATCATGTCACAAACTTCCTGGTGTCATTAAAACAAAACAAGGACAAACCAAATACAAATATTTTTCATATTCTTGTTGATTTTTTCAATTCAGATTTTAACTCCGATTGTTTTTTTCTGATCATATAATTTGTAATGGAAAAAATAAATATGCATTTTCACTAGTCGTCTCTGACTTTTTGGACCCCATTGTCCAATGATTGGAAATTAATTATATATGTATACTTTCTCAGAGTGCTGTGTTGTTTTTGAAGTGACATGTGATACAGGGAGGTCAAGACGTTTGAGGAAAATTCTATGCAAGTGCTCCTGTGAGCAGTAAAATAAGCACAGAGTGGAGAACAAAGCATTCTTTGAAATAAAATGGAACAGATGACAAATGTTTAGTCTGAACACAAATATAGCCTAACTTTTAAGGGTGCTTTTTTGGTCTCCCTGCTTGCAGTGCCTATTTTTGTCCTGAGTTGATTTTTTTTCTCCTGAGATATGGATTGACTTTGATAGAATTTAATTCATATTGACCAGTGTGATTAAAGAAAAGTGATATTAGGAATAATGTGTCTTTGTGAATTTTGTTCACATATTTTACATGTATTTTTTCTTTATATGAATTAGTTTAATTGCTTCATTTGATTTATATTAAATATTTATAAATGATCCATTGATTTATTTATGTGCTTCAAACTTGTGATGTTGTAGTCGGTCACAAGATGCACAAGAATGAATGACATTAGGTCTGTTTCTCAGTCAAAGCTTCAGACGAAATTCATATAGTGTGCTATTTGTGTGTATGGTGCCTTGCTTTTGTCCTTCAAGCTTGACAGCTCCTGGTCACTCTATGTTTTGATTAGGTATTACTTTATTTTGATAGTCCACTTTAGACATTGTGCTGACTATAAGTAACTTTGCAGCTACATATCAACTACCAGTCATTGAGTATTAGTAGACTGTCTGCTTAAGATCTGCTAACACTTTATTTTGATGGTCTGCTAATAGACTGTAAGTAACTTTGCAAGTACTTCAACTTATTCTACTAACCCCAACCCTAACCTAACAGTCTACTAATGCTCTAATGAGAGTTAGTTTACACATAGTTTCAAAGTTTCTATTATAGTTAGTAGAATGTCTAAAGCAGACTGTCAAAATAAAGTGTAAACTTTGTATGCAAAAGAGCTGCTTGGACATCTGGAAAATCTACTAAATTTCACCTTTTGCATTCCACGGGAGAAATTCCTATGGGTTTGAAACAAAATGAGGGTAAGTCAATTTTAATGCAAAATTAATAGAGATTGTCATGTTATTTTACATTAGCATATCTAGCAAATTTACTATTTCTAACTTTTTGCTCATCTTAACATTTTTGTTGCAGCAGATCACCACATAGGAGGAAATTTAGACACCCTGTATGTCCTCTTTAGGTTAACTGCAGAGGTCTGCCTGGTGAGCTGCTGAAAGTCCTTCAAGCCTGGAGAGGTTACGTCAGCCTCGCCATCTTCTTTGGAGTGCTGTTGTTTAGAGAACAGAGTGGTTGGCCTTACTCTGAGAGTGTGGGAAAAATTGTCCAACGGGCCTGTCGCTGAGAGCGTTTATGTTACCGATGCAATAAAGAATATTTACAAGTCAGGTGTGTTTAGACTGAGGAACGCTGGTGGTGGGGGCGCTTTCGACGGAAAATGGAGGTTTTGGGGGGGACTGACAGCTGGAGTGTCTCAAACCAGCTTTCAACCCCATATCATCAAGTCAAACAATTTTGTCATTTATGGAGCAAAAATGAACATGCAGGACACTCTCGGTAGGTAGCGTGACTACTCAGCCTTTCTTTTGTAGCTGGAATTCCAAAACATCCCGTTTCTGGCCCAGACATTAATGCTTTAATGCACAGACTATAAAGCTCGTCCGTTAGTCTGTTTTCATGTTCAGACTGTCCGCCTCACTTCCTACCACTGAAGTGTCACCCTGAGCAAGTCATACTATATCTTGTCCCACTGGCCCCATTAGTTTGCTCTATGAAAGCACTAAACCAAACAAAAGATCCCCTGGCAGCAGCCGTACAACCCAAACACACAACCCATGATCCACAAAGTCATCCAACACATAAACACCTCCCTCGAACCCTGGGACAAACACTAGACTCTCCATATAGACTGAACACACTCGTTCACAGTTTCGTTGAGTACGCATGTGTGCAAGCCCCCTTCTTTCCAGCATCATAGCCTGCCATTAACTGTAGCACTGTGCTGACTTTGAGGGATTACAGGGGCTTTGCACAGACCTGCCTCTGTGTTCACCTGAAAATGCTTGCTTGTTTAAGACCGCAGCATTGTTGCAGGCACAGGAAACCTTGAATTTACCAGGGTTTATCAATTATTAATGTTAGTTTTCTCCTTACTTCCTTCCTTCAATCTGTGGAGGACTTAAAAAATTAACTTGATAATAAATCAGGCCCCTTTACCAATCATACATTCAGGCCCTTTAACCCATGTAGTCACTTTCATATTCAAAGACTGTGGAACGTTTATGCAAACCAAACTGAAATTAGGTGCTTGGAAAGCAATGGCATTGGTTTATGTTTAGCTTTCCAAGTACCACTGCAGTCTGTGCAAAGAAGTTATATATCCACACAAATCACACATTGAAAAAGTTCCCCCCATATGGCTCTTTTCCATGCAATAATGGGAACTAAAGCTTTCACCTTTCAAAATTACCATAAACGTATTTTAAAAGTCCATATTCCAGGTCTACTTGCATCCTTTTTGAACATAGAAATCATTAATTCCAGTTAACTATAACTGCATGAAAAGAGCAACCTCCTTTTGTGTTCCACAGAAGAAGGTCAAACGTGTTTGGAACAAATTAAGGGTAAATGATGACAGAATTTTCATTTTTGGTTGAACTATCTCTTTAAGTCCAGAATCAATTCGATACAAATGTTTACACCTTGAAATTCACCATTCCTTTACCACAGTTGGACACACCTCAAGCACCAAGAGTGAATTAGGAGATGCCTTTGGAGGCCCTTTCCAACTAATCAGATTCCTGAAGGCACTTCCTGATTGTCCTGAAAGAATTGCTTCATCCCAAGCTCTCTCAGACTTGTTAAAGTCAGAATCACCTTTCCCCTGCATTTGGGATGCTTCGGATGTCATAATCAGGCCAACTGCAGAAGCCAAGAAGAAACGGAGGACAAGCACTAAAGTGAGAGTCAAAAAATAACTAGCTCTGTAGCTCTGCCAGCTCTATCAGGCATTCGTCTGATGGATGTGTTGTGACTCCTTTCCTGGAGAAAAGTCAATGATCTCATTTCAGCTCTGTTAACTTCTGCCAAGTATTTACTTTTTTCAGTGAGCAGTGTGGGGGCAGAGGGACAGAGTCTGCCTGTGGCCTCATTCCAAATGATGCAATTTGACAAAAACCACATGAAGGGCCGAGGGTATGCAGTATGGCCAGGGTCTCGAGCTTGAATGCAACACTCAGCATCTACCAGGCCCTGCTTGTTCCAAGTGCGCCTTTCGTCTGATTGGTTCCAAATGCGCTCAGATATATTTTGCCCTTGGTTGTACCAATCACAAAAATAATAATTTGGTCAGAAAATAGCAAGACATTTGCACCGAGCCAAAAACATTCTGATACTAAACTAAATGGTTTATCTTTTAAGTTGTTTGGGAATATTGTGCAGGTTGTCTTTCCCTCTACTGTCGTCTTGCACTACTTTTGCTGAACTGGAGTTGGGCGTCTGCAAGTGAGACATCACAGCTTTGGAATGCCACCAGGCAATCACCACACCACCTCTCCAGCATGCCGAACATAAATAAACCCCAGGATCTAGCCGCCTTGTTATTCCTAGCATTGCTATCAGGAAGTGTCCGGCGGTGATCTATACTATTCAAATAGTTCATTTCCAGCCTCGGTAAGACATTCTTTTCCCAGGACAGGGAACTAAAAAGCAGCTCTGTGTTTTGAAGTTGGTCAAGGGGATGAGGCTCACCACGACCCCTGTGTTTGGTTTAGGAGTACGTGCTGTTATTGGGGATGTGTGTGTCCGTCTGCAGCTGGTGCATTGGAATGAAGAGTCAAGTCCGGCATCTCTTGAGCCAGGAAAACGTAATTTCTATCCCTGTTTGTTTTGAATCTGCCAGGTTGTTTTGACTGCCTAAGTTTGCATCTCGAGCACACATCCTGATGAACCCAGTGAATGTGTCCTGTGCATGACCCCGCAGCTGTCCGAGGGTTGAGCGAATGCTTTGGGAGAGCTTTAATAGGTGATGAATGCAGAAGCGTAACTTTTACGGACAAGCTTGGGATCGGGTTATTATGTAGTGTAGGAGAGCGAGGTTTAATAATGAATCTGATGTCTCCATTTTAGGCTTTTGGGAGAACAACCAGTGGGTGCCTTTGTTTTGCAGTGGACAGAACTGAGCCATACCATATTGACACAGGGAAATGTGGTTAAAGTTCATTTATTCTTTAAGTAGAGGATGTATGCAACATGTTAGCCATATGAATAATTAATAGGTAGAGGTGTGTGTTTATGAGTAAGGAAGTTCAGTATGGCATCCGAAGGTTCTGGGATCAATTATGTCAAGGAGAAAGTGGAGTGAAATTGTGGCCACTGGGCCTCTTGTTTCTTTGCCGAGTTCTGCGGTTCATGCCGTCGAGCGAAAATTAGCTTTTATAAGAGCATATTCAAGAGCTGACACCATGAAACTGACAGAGGGCATTTGTGCCTTTGTAGTTTTAGCCTGTGCAGGACTTGCATCTGGAGGAAAAGACAAGATTAAGGTTCTTAGCTGGCCCCCTCTCTCCCATAGCCCATGGGAGGAAAGGCAATATCTTTGAGCCCAGAGTTAAATATAGAATGGTTACAAAGCACTCAAGATTTGCATACCTGAGAATAAAATGGTTCTGTACTGGAACAACTTAGCCAAACTGCGGAGGAAGCCATGGGAATTTCCCTCCGCGCTGCAGCCCAGAAATTTGGAAAATCTTCTGGAGAATTAAGCTGCTCAGAACAACTGCTCTTTGATTTAAACTCTGAATTGAAAATGTAAATCCATGCCTTCAACCAAGCAACTTCATTGAAAAACAGTCAAGCAGAAAGACGAGACATATTGATTTCCGTGCAATATGATGAAATTCTTCTTAAGATGCCAGGTGAGATGACCATGATGGGTTTAAAATCATATTCCAGTGCTTTGGTTTATGTCCATGAAATTGCAAACAAAAGACTTTTTGTTAGCTTGGATACCTTGTCTAAGCCATATAACATGCAATATGACATGATTTGGGTGCAGGCTCTTGTGGTTTCCAATCAAATTTGGCTGGTT